CAATAATTGGCATCCTTCCTGTGTTGTCCGCTCCCAGTTTGGCATTCACCTCAGCCCACCCATTAGAATTCTGACCTCGCCAACTTGGGTCTTGTCCATAACTGACTGCAGATGTCTGCAGAACTACTCCTTCGCGTCTTGATCTGCATTATTTGTAAGTGTGTAGCGCAGCATTGAATGATTGTGACCTTTGTCCTTTTGAGTTAAGTCTTTCTGTCATGATCCTGCAGGAGGAGATTGATTCCAACCGCATGAGAGCCTTTGGTACTTTTAGGGACAAGACTCATTGCGGTTGTGGTTGTCGTCTGGGCGACAATATTGCAAGAGATTATTGACTCCTTTCCAGTTGACAGCTTGGAAAGCCCACTTCAATTCAATCTACCTTCACAGATTCCTAGCACTTCCATCCCATCCCTCCTCACTTCTTTCTCAATCTGGGCGGCCTTGCTAGATTCACACATGGTGCAGAAGTCCCATATTCCTATTCTTGTTTCCGCTTTCACCGAGAGTAGAGGCGAAACATCGACCAGCTGCCTTCCTGAAGGTTTTCACCAACCGGCGTCATTTCGTCTCTCCGACTCCAGCGAGGAATAAGTTCTATTTCATGTTTCTTATTTCCTTTGCGCCTTGAAGTTTCTTCGGTGGTTGGATTGGTTCTACGGGGTAGGGTTGCCAGCCGTATGCCCAACCTACCCTCTTTGTCCGGGCTTAGGACCGGCTAGTAATTCCGTCTCTGTAACTGTTATCCAGACGTCAGTTTACACCTTGGCTACAATCTTATAACTCAATATGTGATTTTGGTATTAGGTATTCTCGTAACTTAACGTTTGCGGAATATGCCCAGTCTCTTGCCTCCAAGTGTAGGCGCTCAGTTGGCCTTTTGCTTAAACACGCGAATACCACTGAGGCTAGACTGCTTTTATTCAGGGTAATGATCCACCCAGTATTGAATATGGCATAATCACGCTGAGCAATATGAAAGCATCAGACGGGATACTAATTGAGAATGTTCAAAGAAAGTTTACCCGCTATGTACTGGGCAGTCACGAAGAACCTGATTATGGGGAAGGTGTAAGAAACTGAAAATTCACCCACTTTGGCCAAGACGCCTTAAGCTCAACCTCAACCTATTTTTACGCCTTCTGTGTGGCATTACTCACGCCTGTTGCTCTCCTACTCTTAAGCCTATGTCCTCACATAGCCTATGCAATCGTGAATGCACTGTACCTGTAGAAAAGCACCATCTTAAACTTAAGTCACGATCCTTTATGTCACAGTACAGCAAGTTATGGAATAAGCTTCCACATTTTATTCGCTCTTGCATGTCAGCATTTCAGTTTCGACGTCTACTCGACGAATTCTCTATTTCGCGAATATCTACAAATTTCTTGACATTCATACTATATCCACAAATACGAAGCATAATGGAGCAGTCGGCGGTTAACAATGGTCATGCCATTGCGTCCAATGTGAACGTACCCAGACCTCTAAATGTAAGAATCGGTTTTGCTAAAGCCCTCCAGTTCCTTTGATGCAGATGGCTTTACGATTGCACACAAGGGTGTGCATACCGACTTCTCTCCGTATAATGAACTTAAAAGCACTGTTTTCCTCTCAAAGCCACTACGGTACACCCTAAAAATCTTAAGAACCTTATAATGGAGGACTATGCAGTTGATTTCACATGTATACATGAAAATATTCACTAAGTCCGAATAATTCAATAAAAAAGAATGGGGACTTCTCTCTTCTCCAAATTTGATAGCGTAGTAGTTTCTCTTTCCATATCTGCCTGTGCGCCTTCTTTCTTTCCCATTCGCAGAAATTGCTGCAAGTCGGCATATGATGCTCAAATTCAGTCTGAACATAGTTACTTTATGGAAATAACACCTGCTCATTGACGCCAATAATCACTAGACTGCTCCCGCTTTTTCGCAAATTCCGGGCCATCTTCAAGAATAACTCACCTACTGTTCATGATTCTTCTTGGGACGAACCGTCTGATCATTTTCAGCTGCACAGACATTCTGAACAGGTGATTGAACCGGAGACCAATTTACATATTGGCCCAGGACGTCACTTACCTGCAACGGCTCCACGCTACACATTTTCCAGTACTCTGTACCAAGAGATCTTTTCATATGGAACTTACTATGCATCAAATACACTTCTCGAATGATGCTGCCTACGCTAATACAAACGATACCCGAAGTCTATGTAATAATAATGCCACTTGGACTATTGACCTTTGCGGCATCTATTTTCATCCAATGCAACAAGTATTCCCAGCAGAATTATTCTATATATCCTTTAAACGTAACATGGTGGCCCGGAAGTGCGTTGATATAGCCATACACATCGGTTATTTAATTGCGGACATTTTATTGGTACTCCAGATTGTATAAATGGGTCCTCTGTGGCTAGCAAAACTAAAAACTGAAGATCCTTTTGAGTAATAAACTGTTATATTACTAATTAGCAAACCATGCAAATGGACCAACAACGTCGGTTGATTATAATGCAAACTTCGAACATTGCGCGCTTTTGATATCGATAGTGGAACCTGTCTGCGAGGTGGGAGATGAAAATCTGTGTCCATTTCATGAATTTCAGCAAAATTTTAATTAGATTATGCACGCTAATGACCTGTTACGTAAACTATTCAACACTAAATACCAGCTTGTAAACCTTCAAAAATTATGAATTTGATGGCGCCTGTAAACTGGTATCCCTCATGTTTAACCCATTATATGAGGATAATGCTTATTATTATCTAAACGTTTTACACTCTATGTACGCTGTAAAGTAATATTTACTCGTTCGTTTCATAACTAGCAGGACCTTCGGCAGTTTTTAATTGAGTTTAATGACATTCCATCAGTACCATTCAGGGCCCAAGTCCGGCAGATATTTTGAGATGTGTCAGCGTGATGAAGCCTGTAAACTGGCTTCTCTCGTGCTAAACTTTTTTAACGCGAGAATAAAACATTTATTTATTTATTTATAATTAGTGAAGCAGTAAACTAGGCGGTGCTTACATGCACTTTGGATATCCATCATGCTTGTGTATTTCGTGCTTTAATTCCACCTATATAAGCTCGACGATCGTCCTTGATCAATGAACATGTGCCAGCCAAAAATTTCTGACTGGTATATGACCACGTACGCGAGCCAGCTTGTGCGTATGTTTGCCGGAAGAAAATTATTATTACTATTACCATAAAAGTGAATATCATTCTACAAGTTACCCAAGAGGAAGATTTGGGACTCATCTTGTCCGCCAATCAAGACACCACTATGAAGTATGATGAAGTAACTCCATAGATACAGTCTATTACCAACTTTGTTTGGCGGCAGCTTAGAGTCCAACCCTCCTCCATCTTCCTCATGGCCTTCAAAACCTTCGAATGATCATGCCTTTACGTTGTTAGTAAACAGCCCCCGCTGCTTGTGGGAAACTCAGACCTCCTGGGAAACGTGAAGAAAGGGGAAGCTAAGTATGTCGTGAAGCTGAGGGTTGAACCTTATCGTGGACGGTTCCGAAAACTTGACTTATTCATTCTTAATCGCTGTGGAGGAAGGAAGAGCAGAAAAGGACCTAGGATTAAACTTTTCTGACACTCTGGATGCTAGTGCCAACTATAAGAGGGTGGCAGCAAAGGTGAACGCTATCATGCACTTCTCAAAAAGGAAGTTTTAAGACCTAAATTTTGGGTTACTCCTCATAGTATTTAAAACCCACGCTAGACCTCACCTAGAGGTATTCGACACGACAGCCCCCCTCAACTACAAGGAGGGGCCAATATTCTAGAGAATGCGTAGAGAAGAGCTACAAGGCCGGTTGTCGGACTAACAGGCAGAACATATGCGCAATGTCTTTGGCGACTGGACCTGTTCATGTCGAGCTACCAAAGAAAGAGAGGAAACCCAGCCTACGAGATCATCCACCCGGCGGACCACTCCACAAGGTCAACGATATCAGCCCAAAGCCGACAGTCTTACGGGAACCCCACACATATGCCCTACCATAGGGGGAAGACTTAAGTGAGATGTAACTTCTTGTCTCACAGAGTGCGTGGTCTGTGGAATGCTGTGCCGAGGAAAGTAGCCACGGCTACGTCATTTGACCCCAAACGGCTGCTGGATGAGTACGTGAGTGCGAACGTCATGCTAAGAAGTCCTCTGTAGCGACAGGACGTATGTTCACCCACACCTCTATTCCCCAGCAATAAGATCCCCCCATATTGTTACCAGCTACAATTGTTTTCCATGAGTACTTTACACTCCTCTTTTTCTCATTTCCACCAGCACTATGTCTCACACCACTTTTAAAGCTACGCTTAATACTTGATTGCAGGTGCTCACAGAAACAGGACTTTCTAAAGGTTAGTTTATCTATCTGGGAGCTTCGTCGCTTCCTTCAAGAAACCAAGTTACAATTTGTAAAATATACTATCAAATAGACAATTACCACCTCGAAAGTTGTAAGCAGGAAAAATGTAAAGACTTCTGTGATCACCGAAGGAGTTTAACCCAGCGAAAAGAGTCGAGCCTGAAATTTCGAGCCCAAAACTACGAGTTTCCCCTGTTTGTACTACTAATTTGGGATACAAGCTATTGGATATTAGAAAATGTCTAGTGGCAAATGGGAATATTGCGTTACTTACTAATGTGTCAGCGTAATGTGAAATTGCCAATACTTGGTTATACATTGCTTCCTATATCACAAATATATTTTTCTGTCATATAAAAGCCTCTGCAGTTAGGACCTTGACTTGAGTCCTAAGGTCGCACTGCTAAAGTCATCGGTAAACTTCGTACATGCTATATTTCAGGACTACTTGCACCATCTCCATAGCAGAAAAATAGATAATAATTTCACTTTTAAAAAGTTTTTTCCCTACTTATATTGTCTCACCAATTTATTTTGCTGGGAGCTATATTGGAATGATCTGGCTGAGTTTAAGTGACTATATATTGTCATGGGCGTGTGTTAAGTTATGATAGTGTTTATCAGCATAGCACTGGTATCTGCACTTATGGGCTATATCTTTTGTTTGAGTTTGAGGTAAAGTGTTTATAAAGATTTTCAATACTGTTAGCAAATGTACTGTGAACAAAAGAACGCAGCGATATCTGCTCAAAAAACGATTGACATCAACCAAAGAGTATTTAACTCCACGGAAGAAAACACATGAGTACGTTTGAAATACTTCCTTTGATCCAGATTTTTAGGTCTGTAGATGCTCACTTTGACCAAACAAAAGTTACTATTGGTAGTAGGTCAAATGCGGCTTTGCAATCGGTAATCGGTTTCATTTAACCTTATATCTTAGTTGTTTGATGTACTACTTAAGGAATACATTGATTTTTGGTACAAGTATGTGTGATACATTGAAAATATATCCGTAGACCTCTGACTTCAAACCCAGACTTCATGATTCAGCTCAAAGTATTTTTGCAGTATGCCTGTGCAGTAATAGTTCAGAGAGTTAAGAACGTAAGTACTTTCTAAAACACATAAATTTTCAGGTTAAATTTTCCGAATTCCTTATTCATCGATTTATACCACACTTCTTCGACCATGTTATTCACATTTTATCCCTTACCAGTTCAGGTGAGTCTCCTTATTTTATGTATATCAATTGGTGATTATCCTGAATTAGTTCTTATTTCCATGTTAAATGCGCGCCAGAGACGTACATATGCTTCATTACCTTATGCACATCTGGACATAGTTGTGGTACTTAGTGGAAAGTTTCCCTCTAATTGTACTGTGTCACTGCATAAAATAGTCACTTTGGTATTGTAACATTCCATACCCTCTTCCACATGCATGTGAACAACCATCGCTTCATAAAGTTACTGCATTTTTCTATATTTAAAATGAAATCATCCTTTCATTTTCAGACCTTAGTAGCTGATTCTACTACGTATATCTGAGTGCGTCAATATACGTGTGTCGTTTTTATTTTGATCGTTTCTTTAAACATCGATAAATGTTTTATGATTGCTCATTATGTTTCTAATTGTATTTCTGTATCTCTTGGTAACATTTTTGGCACTGATTGCACCCGTGACTTTAGGATACCTACTTTATGTTGTGTATACCGTGCAACATTTCACCTAGCCTGGTAATAAATAAGTCACGTATTATTGTTTGGAACGGAAAATATGTTAAGGTTGCAGATATTTGCAGGGTGCAAATAATCTATGAAATGGGATAAAAGTAGTTGAATGGTTGGTGTTAAGATATATTTATGTATCTGTAAAAGATGAAACCTCTTTGGATTCGTTTATCATCATATCTAACGATAAGAATTGGGGTTTTTCTACATGTTAGGAGGCGTCATCTATATCATCGTGCGCTGTTTCTTGCAGTGGGATTTATTAGAAAAGGCATTTGGGTAGGTATACTTAAATACTGCACTGGTCTAGAGTTTCTGACTTTCGTTCTCATATGCACCAGGAAATGTCAGCTTCCTGGTTGTGGTATGCAAAACAGTTGGAATCATTAGGTTTATATTTCCGGAGACATGATTTAATATGCATTGTTGTGAATTCCAATGTTCATCTAGTTGAGATTTGTAGCTATCTCATTTAAGCTTTTAATAATACCTTTCTAGTGTTTTTTCTTCGTATCCGTTATTATCAGTTGTATTTTTTTCATGTACAGTGTTTCCCTATTTATCTTTCAGTTCCTGGTTATAAAATATAGCCTAATTTGTTCCCCAGTTGTGCATTGTTTTTCTCCACTTACCTCTGCTAAAACCACTTTTTAGTGTACAGTAATAAGAAGATAAGCAGAAGTAAGAAAGTAGGCCCGTCATCTAAAACTGTTTCAACCCATTAGACCAGAAACTCAAGCATTAGGGCCTTGGTCTGAGCCCCGAAGCATCTACATCAGATGGATGACATCATAAACCTTCATGTAACAAGCATGAACTGAAAAGACGAAAAAAGTAACAAGACTGTCGTGTTCACGTCCCTGCATCAGCCGATGTACCTCTTGTGTAGACCAATAATACTACCTAGCCGCCCAAACATCTGTAAGAGCAAGGCCCGAACCCTTTACCCTTTGATTGGGAATAGAACTCCGAAACCAATAAAGCCACAGCTACATAGATCAGTACATAAACATGTATTTAGTTGACTTATACTATTCATTTTCCAACCAGTCTTATTTCTAATGATGCTTGTGTAAGTAAAAGGGCTGCGGTTATAGACATCGACTTCATCTCCTAAATATCTTGATCTTAAATGCATCTGACTATTTCAATAAATTTAGACTGAAAACGGAGGACAACGTTTGTGGGTTTTTCCTTGCCTACGAAAGGTATGGGTACCATCATTTGTAGTCCAAATAAGTTCCTCTGCTGCCGTTTCACATTGCATAGTTAAGCCGTAAACTAATTTACTTCTACTGGTAGTAGTGATAGATAGCGGCTAGCAGTGGAATCCAGAATGCGCATTTCGTCCTATTTGGGACTCGTCAGCTGGATGTACCTGCTTTCCGATGAGTGATGTTGCTTCTACGTTTGAACGAATAATAATAATCAGTCCGTTTCAGAGGTGAATAGGTTGACATACTGTCTGTTTAAAACATCAGTCGCACACAATTTATGCAGTAGAATATATTCATTGTATTGTTAGTCTGATGGGCTGACAAAATCAACTCAGAACCTCACACACAGATGTGTAGACTTAAGTTGCCACATTTGACAGTAGTACACAAAGAACAGGTGGGTAGAAAAAGTGATAGTGTTGGTGTCATAGTATAAATCATCAGAGGTGCTTCAGACTATGCAACTGGCTTTGAGCTATTTCAACATCATAATCACTTAACCAGTAAATCTCTTTAGAAATCCATATGATCATAGCTTCCTTACATTCTGATTACAGAACCTGTCTGTGTATCAAGTATTACACCACATTTCAAAGTAATTTTACATTGAATAACGTTATCGGAAGATTTACCAACTTTTGAAGTCAGTTAGTGATTTTCTTTCCAGTATGTGACTGAATGGGTTCTCAAATCCCAAGTCTTACTACTTCCATATTTTGATATGTTTTTTTGGAAGTTGTACATAAAATTTTTGTATGAACCTGATCCTTAGTGATTTGTAAGAAAATTGTTTCATTATGAAAACTGAGTAGCATCAAAATACTATTCACCGCAGTGTCTCATCACTTAGTTTAGTGGAAATTTCGCAAGAGTGATCGACAAACTTCGTTCAGTGTCGAGCACTAAAGACTAGACAAGTACATCGGTTTTCCATCCTTCGACAGGCTCAAGAAAACAGGCATACTTATAGGTATCTGACACGCCATATTTCTTGACCTAAAGGTGTCATTTGACTCTGTCGATTGTAAGGTGTTGTGGTAATGTCTGACAATAAAGTGAGTACCGATCAAGTTTTTGCCGGTAATTGAATCTCTACTAGAACTGACGCTGTAATGTACGGGCCTATGGAGAGTTGTCATGTGAATTAATGACAACTAGTGGTTTCCTTCAGGGATGTCCACTGTCACCGTTCTTATTTAACTTCGTTATAGATGTGCTAATGGATACGACCTTAGGTACGTTTAACTTCATACGAGTTGATCTACTCCCTGAAGATCATATGGTTGACTTGGAGTATGCAGACGACATTATCCTGCTGGGTGAAGACGCTGATGCAATGCAGGATCTTCTGGACTCACTGAGCAGAAATCTGTATGTTTGGCATGTTTTGCACCCGTCAAATGTAAAATAATGCTCTACTATTAGCCGGGAGCCACTTCCAGTTTAATGTTGGGCGGTGAAGTGGTGGGATGCACTAACCGGTTCACCTGCTTCAGGAGTTGCATCAACATAAACGGGCTGGTTACTGACGAAATCTCACCTCAGGTGCATCTGCCAACCTGCGTCATCTGTGGCGCCGGCGAGACATTCGACTATCAGAGGATGAGGATACTGTGCTGCAGTTTGTTCTAACCTGCTGTGTGGCTGTGAAAAATGGCCTTTAAAATTAGAAGACATGAATTAGTTGCAGCGTTCTGATCGCAGGTGTTTTCGCAGAATTGGTCGTGTTTGATGGAATCACCATGTGAGCAACGTTGAGGTCAGGCGAAGGGTGCTAGAGAGGGCAAGCAAGTTGATTGGTGAGATTGTAAACATCCATCGACTGAGGTAGCTTGGACATATTCTAGGCATGCCGGTCCATCACCTATCTCGACGCACCAAGCTAGAAGAATTTGGAATAGGTTGGAAGAGTGTTCAGGTTGGCCAGATCAAAACGTGGCATCAGTCGATGAAGTCCCTGTCTGTTGTTCTGAGCGATATGGGGTGTTTTGGACTTCCTGGTTGGAGTCCTCGAGACGAAAGAAATTACAGTGGTTGAGGACTCTTGGTGATGTGGCTGAAAATCGGTCGCTGTGACATAGCTGTATTCACTGTTTGACGTCTTCTAGAGCTTGCATTTTTGCAGTAACCGGTATCTTCAGATTGTTTATTCTCTCACACAATTTCGTCTACTTTGTTATCAGTCGTTTTCTATCTGCATGTTCTTTTTGTACTACTGTGAAGTGTTGCAGCTTCAGTCAGTGTACGTCAATGTTGTCTGTCTACTACATCGGTTATCTACTAGATATAACTTGTTGTAACAGTTTCAGTCGTAGAATGATTCAGCCTTGTTCTGAATATCATATTGGTACAGTCTCCGACTTCAAAGCTGAATGGGATAGGTTCAAACCACCTTCTCATGTTTGCAGATGTCTTGTTGATGAGTTCCAAGAAACACAAGATGTAGGTTTAAGGCTTTCTGCTGACTGACTTTTAACATAAGGATTGAAAAACTGAAGAACTGTTAGGCATAAACACTACAAAAATACTTAGAGTGCTCTTCAAAAATAGTGTAATTAGCTAGGACATTGACTGAGTATCTTAAACCATGGATCTCATAGTCATATGCAGGTAAAATGAGATGCCGTTACATCCTCCTAGTTGAAAAAAGTGATTGAAGTTGACAGGTTGTATCAACCAAACGATGGGCATATACAAGATAAAACAAAATCGATAGCGGAAATACAAGTTTTTAAGATCTGTTCACTTTCTGACCTCAATTCTTAATCTTTGTGTCATAAATTCAAGCAGGGATCTGTCTAATTCGGTATATATAGTCAAGTTATTACCCAGTCCAACCATCCCATTTTTAATTTTACAGTTACTGAGCCATGTCTAATCTATGTAGCTTTTAAAACGTAGACTAGACAGCTTAACATTGGACCCTAAAGCTTATATTGAACGTTTCATGTTTACATGGGGCATTTCGCATGTTCTAGCAATTGACAAAAAATAGTACCTATGCTTCTGTCAGTCAACATTTGTTGTTGTTTTATTTTCAATTTTTATTTAGTGTAGTTTATAGAATTTCTGGTTGTATGACTTACCTTATATTTCTTTGACAGAAAATTTAGCTGCTTCCAACGTTGGTGAGATGCACAAAAAATCCGGCACTATTTTGAAGGAACAAAAGCAATTTCAGAAGAGGTATTTAACTTGTTCATTTTTTAAATATCATAACTGATTCAACTTTAAGCTCTTTGAAATCTTGCCCTGAAGAAGTTGTCTTAAGTGCTCTTAGTGATCGACTGCATGCAGCTTTATATTCTAGACAGGCTGAAGTGATGTATTTACGTGCAATGGTGAATCGATTGTTACCATTTTTGAGTATGCCGCCTAGTCTTTCTCCAGACATACATAAATCAGAAGGATCTACTGTTGGTCATAGTTCTCGTCTTCGACGTAATCGAGTTATGAATATCTCTCCTGGACGTTTGCAGTGTTCTCCAGATATAGAAAATCAATCACCGGTTACTCGCAGTGTCTCTAGCGGTGCTCTATTTCTTCAAAAGTTAGTGAAACTAGGTTGTAATCCGTAAGTCAGGCAAATGCTATGTGGACAATTGTTTTACTTTTAAATATAGCTTTTATGCTTATGCTTATTCAATATATTTAAGATTCTTTTTCGTAATAATTAAGAGGTCAGTTAAAGTGCAAGACAGAGATACCATACTTGGAGTTCAATAAAATTCTTGCAGCTCATGAACATTTAATAATCGCTTAGATTCTCTTCAGCTCCTTCAAATTCCATAGGTTATAATCTTCGTGATAAGAAACAAAATTTACAATCTACTTTCATCCATCTAAGAAGTATATGTTGGCTGTAATGGAAGACAACATACATATAGGATGATCAAAAGTAATGGGGAAGTTGGATTAGGTTGGTAGTGGGTTCAGGGTGGCCAGACCACGATCTGGTATCAGTCGATAAAGTCTCTTACTGTTGTTTTGCCCTGGTTGGGGTTCCCGAAATGAAAGGAATCATAGTGGTTGGAGGTCTTCTTGTTATATGGCTAAAAATCACTCAGTGGCGCAGGTGTATCCACTCTCTGACGTCTTTTGAAGCTTGAATTTTCGCACTAAACGTTATCTTCAGATTGTTTATTCTCTCACACGACTTAGTCTACTTTGATGTCAGTCGTTTGCTATCTGTCTGTTCTTTATGTACAACTATGAAATGCGGCAACTTGAGCCAATGGACTTGTGTGTGAAGTCCTACGTTGATTTTACTAGTCAGTCAGTCATAGAGTTAAGATTGTTTAAAGTTTAGCTATTTATAGATTCAATATAATAGAGAGGATAAAGGAAATTGTCAGGAGGCTGGAAAAATTGATATTTTAGAATCGGATTACGCAACTCGGGAAATAACGGTAATAGAAAATGAGGACAACTTTCATGTATGGTTAAAAAGTGTTTTTATCGTGTCATTTTCGCAGTTAGATAAAATCTATGGAAGTCTAAGTAGGCCACACTCCATGTGTTCCTTTAACAAATTTGTCTATGGATCTTTCTATCCATATGATGTTATGTGAAAAGGTCTTGTCTAGTTTTACAACATGATAGCACATTCCACTTGCAAGACCCTAGTTCTTCATGCTGAATACTAGAAGAGAAGCAACTCAAAAATGGTATGCAGCTACGTTAATTAGGCGACTAGTTAGACCGATTGTATGAAAGCTGGGATACTATTTGGTCATCCAAACCTTAAGTAAGTGGAGTGCAGTTTGAACTGGTAACCTTCCGATTCCATTTTAGTCTGTTTATTAGAAATGTCACACAGTGAAAGAATATCATTTACTGGATAACGTTTCGGACATAATTTTTTGTCCATATTTATATCAGACATAATAACCTTCTGGTTGAAATTTGATTACCTAGATTAATAAATCATCGCTCCACTAAGAACCTTATAAGGTATTCATCCAGGATAGTATGCAAGAGAATGCACACAAGTGCTTGAGTCGTGATATGAGTGTAATTAAGGTCGTTTTCATGTGATCCTCATTAACTGCCAACTAGTGTCAATATGTTTAATCTTTATTCACCAATGATATGATATGAAAGGCGTCTATCAGCCTAGACGGTATGTTAGTGTTATTGCTTGTATTACGCCGTCGTTGATTGGACCGAATTTATCAGTTTCTGTTGGCATATGGGCTCCTGTATGGATGCCTCGATATTGCGTGTCTTTTAACTATGTATGGTAATGATGGGCTCTGGCTAACAGTGGAACAACATCACTCACTGGGAGGCAGGTACATCCAGCTGACCAGTGAGTCCCAAATAGGACGAAATGCGCATCCTGGACTCCACTGCTAGCCACTGCCTACGAGCCTAGACAGTGTCTGTTTTAGAAATAAACTCTCCACTTGTCAAGAATAGGTGATTATTAGTACAGATTTACAAAGAATGTCGCATATTGCTTACACTGTTGATAAGCATTGAGAAATTTATTTTTTCATGTTACTTCAAAACAATCCTTTATGTTTTTCCAGATCATCATATAGTTTTTTGATCGAAATATTGTCCACATGTGTTCTGTTACCTGCAATGGACATTTTGGCTAATTCTGTAAGTCAAATATTTAAGGCTAAATATCTTTGAAGTGTTTTACGTATAGATTTCTTTGAAAAAGTGTACTAAATTGAAGTATAGGGTGTACAACTGCTTTATCAAACTTACATTCTTGAAGTTCTGACTATCTAGTCTGAACCTCAGATTCATGTCTAATTTAGCCCTACCATTGAACCCTTGTTCATAGCCTCAAGTACATGAATCTGTCGACACTGAATGAATAGTGGAATCATAAGTTTCATTAGTATAACTATTTTTATATGATACCGTCGTTGCTTGGACCGAATTGGTCGGTCTCTATTGGCATATGGGCTCCTGTACGGATGCCTTAGTGGGAACAACATCACTCACTGGGAAGCAGGTACATCCAGCTGGCGAGTCCTAAACAGGACGAAATGCGCATCCTGGATTCCACTGCTAGCCACGACCCTTCATTAATAAGTTTCATTAGAGTAAAAAAAAATCAACTTTGAAACAACTCCTGGGGTCATAAACCACTACATCTATTTTTGCTTGGTCATTCGAGTAGCTCTCACAGACATTCAGTGCGGCTCTGTACTACTTTACTGGATCATGAACTGATTCCTCAATATTACTGCAAGTTTTATTTTGATGCTATATATTTAGTGGGTAGCGCTTTTGCGTTTGAAACATTGGATACAGGGTTTGAGTCTTAGTGAAAACACCATCACATGGGGACATACTATTGTACTGAAGCCTCTTTTCAAGTTGATGTTTGTTCAATTCTTTTCTATACTTGTTATGTGTAATATCAAGGAAACAACTTGAGGATACACAATGTTGAAATAGCTATACTGTTTACATTTCTTACTTCTATAGATTGAGTAGACCTACGTGATGAACACTGGTTCATACCATACAAAAGAAGCTACTATTTATGATGTGAGAGGGCGGGTGGGGAAATATGCGTGCTTATTCCCGGTCGATAGCTGCTACCTTGATGAGGTGGTCAGGCTTGCGCATCACAATAACCCAACGAGCTACTCTGACTAGAACGCTTGTTTCCTCTAGATCTTACCATACCAGAAAGGTTTTTTGGATAGTGGTAATACGAAAAGCAGTTACCGTTGTAATATAAATTGTTACACTATGATGAGAGATCTGAGGGCGAAGTCGTACTGCTACTAGCTGGATTGGGTGAGACGGCAGTAGGGTGTTTCTCTTGGATGATCAGCAGTACCAGGCTGGTGCTACCTTCTCAACGGTAAGGAGTGTTAGAAAAGGTTGGTCCCAAAAATAGCACACTCTTCCCGGTTCCACAATCTCCCAGTGCCAGGGGTAAGAGGTCTGTCTATCCGGCGTTAGAATAGCCAAACCTCAAAACAACGATCCGCAAAAACCTGGCCTCAAGCAGATATCCCACGGGTTATGCGGTCTTACAAATCTTCTCTTTCAGGTACTCTAATAAGAAATAGCCTTCTTCGGTATGGACAGCTGGAAAGTATCAACCGCGCACACGCTTCTACAAGTACACAAAGCCCAGTTAAACGTAACCTATCCTCCTCAGCTTTGTTTCCTTGTTCGCCTTCACCTTTTAATATTAATATTCAGTCTCTTATACCTTCCGAATCTCTCATTTTGTGACCATGGATTTCATGTAGGAGCTTCCAACATTTGAACTGTATGCCAAATCGGACAGGAAGCATCACTTACCATAACTCTGAAATCTCTAGCCATGTATGTATGTTGTGTCTATGAATATGTATACAGGATCCGAGTGTGGTTATTAAATTGACCTCAGCTTGCCACCTTAGATGGAGCTATCTGGAAACCTACTAGATATCTGTTGTATGTATGTTTTTGTGATGTTCAAGATCAATAAATAAGCTTTTATTGTAATGTTATCATATTCGATTTACTACTGAATTTAATAATAATGATAATTTTTGTTTCTAACACTTTTTTATTCTGCTACTTACAAACACTCCTAATGATTGGTATATCAACATGTGAAGGATTTTCTCAATCATTTAATTCTACTATGTTTTTCTGGTAATACAGTAAGTTAATTATTACAGTCTTTTTATGCGTAATAATATGCTTAATTGAATGGTTTGTAGGCTAATCAATTGGTCCATCATAGATCATTAACACACTGCAAAGCATTCAGAACAAACAACTATATTTATTTATTTGTTCCTTGGGTTCCTGGTGGAACATAGGACTTCAGTAGCATGTCTCTATTCCACTCTTTTCTCTGCAATCTTTTGAACCTGGCTCCACAACAACTCAAAAGCTCTCATTTCTTCCTCATATGATCTCCTCCGTGTCACCCTCAACTGGGACGCTCAACTCGCTGTTTTCCATCTGGGTTCCACTCGAGGACCTGGCCTGGCATGTGATATCCCCCAATGAACGTATATTTCATTCCATTTAAAGACTTTTTGGTAGTGTTTACCTATAATCAACTCTAAGATGAAGTGGATACATTTTATGTTTCATAACAAACACGTCTAAATTTCGATAGTTCAAACTATTTGACTATAATATTTACAACGTGATACTTCAACAAGTTAGTTTTGTGAATACAGTATCATAATGTTAGTAGTTGTACTTCATATTAGATATTTCAAAGACAGTTGACTCCTGAAGATCTTTAATTGTTGAGTTTGTTTGCAATTGTCAACAAAATTTTGAACCTATTAATAAGGATATTTAGTTGAGAGGATAAATGATAAGTGTGGTGGATAAATGTTTATGTATATCTGATTCTATAACAGCAAATAGGTTGATGCAATTCTACAGATCATTCCTGCAACTCGTGAAATAACCAATTAGGTTTTTGTAATTTAGTTGAATAAGTAGTTTTTCTTAACATAAAATCAAGCAATGCACTTGACTATTTCATTTGTTGTTAAGATTATCTTTAGAGACATTAGATACAACTTTGACTGGAGGATAACCAACTTCATCTTGTCTAGTACCAAGTGCTAACCGACTTCTGTCGATCATTTCGCAAGGTGGTCACCAGGCTAAGAGGTTCAGCATCACGATACACTTTTGATAGATATTCCTTGGATAGAGGCAATGGGTAAAAAGCCATAGGTCCAGGTTTCGTACTTTCTGTCACTCGTCAGCAACACATATCTGCAAAGTCGATGGAACTGATTTGGTGCTTAGAATTCAAACCAACATCATACAGGGATCCAATCAGACAAGTTTCCACTAAGCTATTCTGACCGCCATTGACTTCCTGAATTAGACACACTCATTGGTTATTCAAGGGTAACCGACTTCATGTCGTTTAGTGATTGTAAAATTACAGTGTAATGAGTCAATGTTTCATCTCATTTCCAGGGTATTCACTATACATTCAAATACATTAGAATATGATCATATCACTAAATCTCTTCTAGCATATACACTTTGCTGTGTAGTGGGTACTGTTGATCAGAATGAATATAAGTAGTATATGTTGAGAGGGCGGCAGAAATCATAGGCAATTACTAGCAATGGGTAGAGATTTTGCCCAGAGAAATGCAAGAGACAATGTGAGCGTATTAAGAGATAGAAGCAGAAGAGGAAATGAGGCGCATTGTGCAGTTGACTGTTTTAGTGGAAAGTGATGTTGACTACTTTACAAGATGTCAATGACAAGCACTCCTTCCTTCGTCTCAATCTTCTCGTTTCCTACAACTGTACTAGGGGGCTATGAATTCCATCTTTTATATAATATGTCTTGATACATGGAACAGTTTACAAATCAGTGATTCATTGGTTAGAAGAAATCATATCTCTCTGCTGACGAGTTGAATACTATTCATCAATTATTGGCACATTCATTTAAGATAGTCGACATATAGATGAAAACGAAATGACGAGAGAAGGAGATGAAATTGATAGAAAATCGTGTAAATTCTAGAGGGAGATGTACCACTGAGATCAAGTCCAAGCTATATAACTATCGATTTCGGTTGTCATGTGAAATGCAATTAGGAAGCCAATGTTTCCCTGCATAACCCAGAGCATCAATCAATCAGACACTTTATGAATTGATGCCATAACTTAGTTTGACTGCCTTTCACTTCATTCTTGCCTAAATTTAATTCAGCTAACATTGAAACAGGAGATGATAGGTGGTCGACTTACAGACATGCCTAACACTCATGTTCCAGTCATCTAAGCCTATGAAAGTTGATACTAACGTTATCTTTGACAAAAGAATTTAAATAACACAATAGATAAGACTTTTGTTCCACTAGGGGACAACTTTTATTGAAACCCTATTTTTTTACAAATGAATCTTCATTTGTCTTTAAGCTTCTTTTCTTTAACTGACTACTAATGTTCAGCTTTTTTGGACTATTACAAAGTAGTTTATTTGATTGTAGCTTACAGAGGAATCCAGTTTGATGCTAAACAAAGTTGGTATGAATTATTTTCTCGATACCTATTCCAAACTATGTGAACATGGAATTTTAAGGTTGAAATAATCTTCTGTTATAAGAGCACAGTTAGTAGACATGCTTTGATAGGATAACAAGGATTCCTAGCGTTCATTACCTGGGGACAATCGCCTGAGTAGAACAAAAGTTATGATGGTATATGATTGTTTTTATATCATGCCGTCGTTGATTGGACCGAATTGATCGGTCTCTAGTGCTAGCCACGATCTATCATTAACATAATTAGAACACTGGCAATATCAAGGCATCATCACAGGAGCCCATACGCCAATAGAGACTGATCAATTCGGTCCAATCAACGACGGTTTCATATAAAAATAATCATATACTAAAAACTATACCCGTCACACAAGAAGCGGCTATCATGGCTCGGTGGTGTAGTGGATAACGCTCTGGAGTTTTAGGCGATCGCTGCCGATTTAGAATCGCGGTGGGAACAACATGACTCACTGGGAAGGAGGTAGATCTGGTTGACGAGTCCCAAACAGGACGAAATTTGCATCCTGAATTCCACTGCTGGCCACGATCCATCATTGACAAAAGTTGGGGTAGTTATCTATATATTCACACATTCCAGCCAATCTAATCGGTCTTGAACGGTTCACAAATAGTTCAACCAAAGTGAAGCACACAATAACATACACCTTTATTTACAACGGTATGGTCTCACTAACATTTAGTAGGATAACCATCGGTGAAGAATGGTGCACATTCGTTTAGTGACTGGGGTAAAAATCGAAATATACTCATCAACTATGGATGCGTTTGTGCTGTAGGCAATGAGCTACATCTGTTGTGTAAAACCTAATGATATCAAGCGGCTGTCAAAAATTGGCAGGGGGGGAATGGGGGTTAGAACTTGTGACTTAATGGTTAGAAGCTGAGCAACCTAGCCAGTGAGCCACAGTTCCATAATGTAACAGTAATACTCCTACTTATTCGCTACCTGTTACATCATTTCAGTTGTTGAGAATGTTGACGATTAAGCAGGTAATTAGAAACTGCTTTTTACAGTTGGTATTCATAATAAACTGACATCAGTTGAAGGAGCATTGGAGACCTGGGAGCACTGGACAGCTGTTTCGTCCCAGTATAGGATTCTTCAGCAGTGCACAATCACAACCCCCGTGGCCAGCATGTTACCATTGAGCCACTGGGTCAGAATCCAGCCGTTCATATTTCCAACTTTTGTCATTTCATGACATAACGCGACCACCACCCGATGTCATCGTTGAGTATTTGTCCTCATGGCCACCAGATTTGCCATACTGGTCACGACTTCTCATTGAAACTTCAGGGATCACCTCTCGAAGCTAGTCACCATTAAGCTCTAGTTTAATTGAATTTGGGGGTTCGTGGGAATTTAGAGATTTTTCCAGTTGGTATTCGACCCCTGGCAAGGTCGTAGGTGCGCACTGCCGAAGTATCCCATACTAGGACGAAATAACTGTCCAGTGATCCCAAGTTTTCAATTTTTCTTTGGTTGATGTCAGCCCATGATGTATACCAACGTAAAATCAATAAATAAATCCCCATAAACCTTTAAGTTAAACTTCACTTTGGTTTGTAGGTTTAGGTTGACTAGCATAATCAGAATGTGAATATGTTATAACCAGCTATGTAGTTAATGTATTGAATTGTCTCTTTTATTTTCATTAACATCTTTGTAACAATACTCATAATGTTTACGATTTAATAGCTGTTAACTTCCTTTTTATAGGATCCAGAACCATTGAAGAAACATGACTGTGAACATGTTCCTCTTCTTGAAGCATATATTCATGACTGGCAGAAATGGTTGTCTAAAAAGGTATGTTCTAAGTGTTTCATTGTTTGCATTAACTTCCTTTTTTTTACTTTTCTTAGCCAATACATCTATATAAAGTTGTTTTCAATTCAGTGTTGATATCATGCTGGAATTGGCCAACTTCCACAACTCAGTTTTGTAGTCATCTGATTTGGTAGAAAACATATTTTGAGGGAATTGTAGGGATTTGGAAATATTTCAAGTTGTTATTTATCGTAGACTGACATCACTTGGAGAAACAAAGGAAACCTGAGAGCACTGGATAGCTGTTTCGTCCGATTAGTATGGGACTCCTCAGCAGTGCGCACCCACAATTCGCCCTCCCCGGATCGAACCCTCGACCTTCAGGTTCCGTGGCCAGCACGTTACAATTAAGCTAGCCACTGGGTGAGAATCCATTGGTCCATATTTCGAACTTCTGTTAGCTCACGACATAGCGCAACCGCCACCTACTGTCATCGTTGAGTCCCATACTAGGGCGAAACAGGTGTCCAGTGCTCCCAGGTTTCCTTTGTTTCTCCAACTGATGTCAGTCTATGATGAATAACAACTAGAAAACGTATTTGTTTAAAATAGAATTTTGACTAGTAGACTGGCTCAGACATCGACTAATGCGCTCTTGTATACAGCAACGGGAAATTATAAGTATCAAAACAATAATAAATGATACTCATTGCACAGTTGGTTGCTGTCGTGACCCAGTGGTCTATTGAACAATGCTTAAGTATTTGAAACGAGTTTTGGATTTGTGTCTCATTGGGATCCAGATACTTCCAGCTGACGAATCTGTTCCAAAGAGGATGTTCATATCTATACATAATTACTGTCCTATCTAGACCGAATTAGAGGGGGGGGGGGAATGATTTCGGTCCTGTGATTGGATGGCTAGTGAATGTGTGTGTGTGTGTGTGTGTGTGTGTGTGTGTGAAGCATGAACCTGTCAAGTTAACCATAGTGTAGGCGTTACACTTGTATTTACCCACTTAAAATGTATAATCATCTTCTCTACCTTAGTTAATTTCAATTTATTTTCTGATTTCTTCATGAAGCCATCATCATCGCTTCACTTGGAGACATTATTGAGTCATCAAGATGAACTGTATCCATTTATGCAGTATATGAAGTCAGTCAAATCGATTGGACCATTGACAGTTGTTCTGCTTATGCGTAAGTACTTCTTCATTTTTCTAATGTAAACTATCTAGTGCAAAGTGGAAGGAATTCAATTGATTCAATTGGAAACTTTCACTATAGATTTCCTTTTTCGAAACTGAAGTACTGAAACAATAGTGGATTGTAAATATAGAAAAACCCTATGACATTCTACTTGGTATCAATACTGAAGAAGATAATTAGGTGGAACTTTGATACTAACAGGTTTGAGCTGATCTAAAGACAGAAATTATAGCCCCAGTTGTTTTCGGTATTGGTTTATCTGGATTTATCCCATTGTTTCTCCTGGAATGGTCTTCAGCAGTACCTCAGCTAACAATAGAGAGTGAAGTGGTCAAGTGAGTTCATCACTTCGCTTATCTGGGAAGTCGGATCAGCCCTGGCGCACTGGTTAGTGGCAGATAAAATCTCTGCACGGACACTAAAAGCTGGATTAGTTTTCGCCAGCTTATGCCATCTGTAGTATCGCTGTGATACCTGATTTCCTATTAAGGGTTGAGTAGACTGTGCTGGAGTTGGTTCTGTTCTACTTTATATCTGTAAAACATAGCCATTTAAGGTAGAAGACATGTGAAGGATTCAGGTGTTCTACCACCGTTACCTTCCTAGCATATATCGTGGTGTCACGATGTCAGGAAAGTAGAGCCAGTTGATTCAGTCGTGAATCTTCATCGACACAAGTGGCTGGGACATGTGTTATGTATGCCTAACCACCATCTGCCTTGTCGCTCAACGTTAACTAAAGTAGGTTCAGGCTGGAAATAGGTTCATGGTGGCCAGACTAAAACATGACATAACTCGTGGTTGGAGCGATATAGGGAGGTGATGACTAACCGATTGAGGCCCGCTTGACAATAGATACTGTAGTGGGCGCTGCTGATCAGAATGGATATAAGTGGCATGTGTTGAGAGGGCGGCAGAAATCATAGGCAATTACCAGTAATGGGTAGAGATTCTGCACAGAGGAACGCAAGAGACAGTGTGGAAGTATTAAGAGCGAATCGACATAGAAGCAGAAGGGGAAGTGAAGCACATTCTACAAATGACTGTCTTTATGGAAAGTGTACAATATTTGATGACTACTTTACAAGATGCCAATAACAAGCATTCCTTCCTTCGTTTCCATCTTGTCGTTTTCTACAATTGGTATCTTTGCTTTCGAACGTGATGAAGATCCCTTGACCTGCAGTGTTCGAGGATGGGGACATCAAGGTCTTCCTCAGCGATTTTAAGTCGGTCGCGGAGCTGGCGGCTGTCCGGGATCCAGGGACGAAGGTCGTGGTGCTTGGCACGTTGCTTAGGGGTAGAGCGAAAGTGGCATATAACGGCTTGGAACGTGTAGATGGAAAGGAGACTTGACAGAGAATGGTTAAACATCTGGAGGCGGAATTTGACAGCCCAACGAGCAGGGAGGTAGCGATGCTACAGTTCGGGAACTGCGAATAGACGAAAACTCGCTGGTATTGACTGTGAAGTTGAAAAAGCTATTTTAATGAGCACTTCTCACTTTGGATGAGGACTCCGAGGCGCAGCTGCTGGCTGAACAGTTCATCGAAAGTGTCTCGAATGCCATCGCCCAGTGGCTACGACTAGTGAACGCAGCCTAACACATGGATATTAGTGAACTGTCCAAGGTCACCAGACAACTCACGGGTACAGCAGTGACTGCGGCGGAGTCACCGGAGGTAAATAATTGTAGAAAATAACAATATGGAGATGAAGGAAGGAATATTTCTTATTGACATCTTGTAAAGTAGTCATCAAATATTGTACACTTTCCACTAAAACAGTCATTTGGACAATGTTCTTCGTTTCCTCTTCTGTTTCTATCTCTTAACAGTCCCACATTGTCTCTTGCATTTCTCTGAGCAGAATCTTTACCCATTACTGGTAATTGCCTATGATTTCTGCCGCCCTCTCAACATATACTACTTATATCCATTCTGATTAACAGCACCAATGGAAAGAAAAACACTATCCACCGTTCTATTCATTCTATTTAAATCAGCTTAAGAGCTTCTTATTCATTCTCCGATTATTTTCATATAATTTATCATTCTGAAATAACAACTTTATAGTGTCATATGAAATCATGTAATGTGGATTATTTCGATTTCCATTATGTTACCTTGTGAACTTGTAACTCTTAAATGTTGATATGTTAGTTAAAGCATTGAAAATATCTCATCTTTTGTTCATTACTTTTAGTGAATAATAAGCTGGAAAAGGCATACAGTACAACATTGCTGTTTAGATAGTAGGGCATGTGAGAGTCATAGTCATAGGATTAGGTCAATTCAGCTACATGAGATCCATTTGTATCATAGTCTAAAATTATTCATACTATTCGATTGTATAATTATCTCTATGTTTAATAATTACTTAAAAATGTTCTAGTAATTCTGATTTTTAGATCAATAAAATCCTACTGTATTGCTTATAAAATTTGTGATAATACTACTACTCATTCATTATTATTATTATTCAGTGTGAAATATCCATCAAACTTTATTAATTTAGTCTTCAAATTAAACTTTCTGATTAATCGTTTTGCACTTTTTAAGTACCATCAAGCATTTTCATTGAAAAGTTCTATTTTGAGTTGAACATATTTTCAATTACTGTTTTTTTTTGAGGTTCATTAATGCCTTTTTGGTTTCTGTAATTTACCTTCAACCAAATGTGTCATAGGCTTGAACCCCATTCCAATTATGACACTGAGTGACAACTATTTTCTGAGAGCTCTTTGATACTACCATACTGATCAGATGTTAGTAAGTGGACGAGTTCGAAAGCATCACCCCCTCCCCCCAGGTTGAAAGTCATCTGAATAGACAATTGAGAGAGATCTTGTCAGGTGGGATCATTAGCCCTTATGTAGTAGATGTCGTTCACTACCTAATGTTATGAACGTGCATAAGTTTGTTAAATTCATTTCGTGAGCTGTAGTTCATTTTGTCTTGTTATACGGTTACGAGATATGTGTGTTAAAAGTAGAAGAAATAAAGTGGTTGTCTTCATAGCATTGCTTGCGTTTTGTGAAATCACCATAAGAACAACGTAAAGGTTAAGCGAAGAGTAGTAGACAAATATGATTGACAAATTGATTGAGAAATTTTTGAAGCTTTGGTGATTAAAATAGCTTGTGCAAGTGTCACACATGCTGAACCACTGCCTACCTCGACGTATCCTTCTAGGGGAAGCTGGATCAAGTCCGAAGGTAGTTCATGGTAGCTAGATCAAGATGTCTCATCAGTGTATGAAATTCTTAACTCTTCATCTGTGCCGTACGTGGATGTGCAAACTACCCTGGCTGAGGTCTATGAGATGATGGAAAATCAGTGTTTAATGACTCTGAGTCACGATGGCGCAGATGTTATTCACTCTTCGACGTCTTCTAATGTTTGTCTAAAGTTTGTTTATCTTCAAACTGCTTATTCTCTCATACACTTTTGTTTCCTTTGATATCATTCTTTTTCATTCCACTTGTTTTTTGCATGCTACTGGGAAGTATGAAATCTTAGATCGATGAACTTTGTGCGATGGTTTCTATGTTGATTTGCTTACCTGTTAACCTTCATTGTTGACTCTGGTATTGTCAGTCAACATTATAACAACTGGACTGAGTGCACATCGGTATATATTCGTGGAAACATCAGTATATACACTTGCTTTTTGGTAGGAAGTAAACTTATCAATGTGAAAGTTGGGATATTGAAACAAATCGACCCTTAACCTGGAGTGGATACCATCATCTGGTTGAATGATTGAATACAGTTCTAGCACATTGAACTTTTGATGGATCTTGTTAGCTGTGTTAATTTTCACCAAGTGCTATGACTCCGCATATATACTTGTCCAGTAGATTTTTAAACAAGACTTTATGGAAGTGAAATGAATAAGGTTGATCAAATGGTTCAGTATAGAATTGTTGCTTGACTTGCCTTCTCCTGTGGACAGCCAAGGAGGATAATGGTTGGTTAGATTGCGCTTTGTATAGTCTACATAACGAGCTTCACAGGAGCAGATAAATTGACAGACACACATAGATATATCCTAAAGCGGTAAAATCATCATAGTGTATAAAGTTAGTGATGGATCGTGGCTAGCAGTGGAATTCAGGATGCAAATTTCGTCCTGTTTGGGACTCGTCAACCAGATCTACCTCCTTCCCAGTGAGTCATGTTGTTCCCATTGGGATTCTAAATCGGGAGCGATCGCCTAAAACACCAGAGTGTTATCCACTACACCACCGAGCCATGATAGCCGCTTCTTGTGTGACGGGTATAGTTTTTAGTATATGATTATTTTTATATGAAACCGTCGTTGATTGGACCGAATTGATCAGTCTCTATTGGCGTATGGGCTCCTGTGATGATGCCTTGATATTGCCAGTGTTCTAATTATGATAGTGATGGATCGTGGTTAGCATTGGAATCCAGGGGGTGCATTTCGTCCTATTCGGGACTCGTCATCTAGATGTACCTGCGCATCCTGGATTTCTATGCTAGCCACGATCCATCAATAATACAATTAGAACACTGGCAATATCGAGGCATCTGCACAGGAGCCCATCTGCCAATAGAGAGTGATCAGTTCGGTCCAATCAACGACAGTATCATATAAAAACAATTATAATATATGAAGATTTGGTGTGATAGCTAAGAAACTTACTAAATCATGATTTATGTCTGCAGTGGTGAGAAACTGTGAAGATATGAATTTGTCGGTTCAACGTTGAATGTTCTTTACGGTATACATTAAGCCCAACGGACTGTTATACTTAGTCTGCTAGTTTGGGTGATCACTACATTACAAAACATTGGAGAGAATTCGGTCAACACTTAGAACTAGACAATATGAAATTAAATGCTCTCCATTGGTAAACCAATTCACATTTATCTAAGCTAATATCAATTTTTATGTACACTTCTTCCTTGCATTCTGCTATGAAGTTTGCCAACTTGAACCGATACCTTTCTGTACCAGGTGATACTCATTGATCTGTCTATCTATTGGCAAGTATTAGTATTTACTTTTCCCGATTGTCCTGAATTGTCTTCATTATATAGTCTGGTGAGATATCTGACTATATACCAAAGGACAAGTATTGTACACTGCAGTCCGTTATATCCTGTTGTATGTCTGTAAGACATCACTCGAAGTTCGAAGACGTGAAGCAGTTTCAGAGTTTTTAATTACATGTGTCTTTGCATGATTTCGCGCGTTTGTTGAAATTACTATATTAAGCGATGTTGTGGTCAGGCGAAGGGTACTAGTGAAGGCAGGCAAGAAGTTGATGAGATTGTAAACATTCATCGACTGAGGTAGCTTGGACATGTTCTAAGCATGTCGATCCACCACCTACCTCGACGCACCATGTTAGAGGAATTCGGAATAGGTTGGAAGAGTGTTCAAAGTGACCAGACCAAGACGTGGTATCAGATGATGAAATCCCTAATTGTTGGCCTGAGCCATGTAGGCATTTCTAGACTACTTGGTTGGGGTCTCGAGAGGAAAGAATCATAGTGGTTGAGGACTCCACGCAATAATACTCATATTAGATTGTAATGTTTTACTAGTTATTTGGTATTTTATGATTGTTTCATTATTATTATTGTTATTATTATCGTCTTCTCTTGCCTATTTTCTGTTTTGCTCTTTACTCAACTTACGATAGACCAGATAAACTCACGTGTATCAAAGCGTATCCTGTCATTTGATGCTTGTCATGAAATCGAAGCTCAAATACGCCATATTTTAAGCATATTACATGATGATGATACTACTACTACTAGTAGTAGTAGTAGCAGTAGTTGGACTAGTCCAACCGATTTCGCTGAGAATTATAGCAATAGTGATGGTGAATCTATTAACCACAAAGTATCTACATCTTTCACGCACCAGAAAACTTCATCAACTAGTATTTCACCATCCAATAGCAATAGCAATGATTTACAACTTTATACAATATCAACAGAATTCGAAGAATTACTTGAAGGCAGTTTAAAGTATTGTTCACCGGAGACATTGATTCATCTTATCACTACACCAGTATGGAAGAGGTAGGTTACGAGTATTTTGTTTATTGTGTAGCACTTTAATTTCAAAAAAAACAAAACTGAAAATGGCGCTATGAATCCCACCTACCGAGGTTTGACCTTCTGAGATAGCCAATCACAGCTCTTTAGTTTGTGATTAACTAACTTTCTGGCGGGAATGCCAAAACTTAATTGCTTGTCTCAATAATAGTTAGGTTGGCCTTTAAAGTCACTTGGTTTTGGCAGTTAAGTAGCATCACTAGCCCTCACTCATTGCCTACTGCATGAATATAGACAAGGTGGTTGAGTATGTTTTGTAAAGGGTTTTAAACCAGGAAGAAATTTCTTTTCTGATAATCATTTATATCCAGGAGACGTGAAACGAGTTGGAAGGGTTCCTTTGTTTGTTTTGATGTCAGTTTGTTACAAAAGTTATCTTCAGATTGTATAAAAGATTAAGAATGTGTAGTGTTCATCACAAGAATACATAAGTGAGAGGATTAATAACTTCTGTAAAGCCGTTTCATGCTTATTTTAGAAATCCTGGCAGCATGTTTCTTGTACCAAGACCTTCAATTCTTTTTGTGAACACATTACCATTCAGTCACATGTTTGAGACTTTCAGTTGCATGTCACTAGGGTTGATACAACACGACCAGAATTCGATGTTATCTGTGGGGTGGGTAACTGTCATCATCTCTGACAAAGCAAGTTACCAATGAATAGGGAATTATCACTCAGTACACGGAATGTGCTTATCGTACTACCATTAATTCAATTGAGTGGTACCAGTCCATGAAGTCCCCCCTGACTGTTGTTATGAGCCGTATGGGGGAGTGTAAAATACCTGACTAGCAGTCTCTGAAACAATTGGAATCAGCTATTGAAGACTTTTAATGAAATGGCTGTAAATTAGTCACAATGGCGTAAATATATTCACTCTTTGATGTCTTTTAAAGTTTGAATGTCTTGAATAACGTTGATCTTTAAATTCCCTTTCCTTCCCTACTGACTAACTGGCACTGATACTGACAAAATCAACGTAGAACCTGGTACACAAGGGCACCGGTTTAAGTTGCCACAAGAAGAACAGATGGATAGAAAGGGAGTGAAGTTAAATTGGACAAAGTTGTGTGAGAAAAAACAATTTGAATATACCGGTCAGTGAGAATATTCAAGATTTAGATGTCAGGTAGTAAATACATCTGCACCACTGTGTGACCGATTTTCAGTCGTGTGATTCCTTTCGTCTCGGGGACCACAGTCAGACAACTAATCTACATCTCCCCACACGGCTCAAGCCAACAACCAAGGACTTCATGGACAGGTACTACGTCTTGATCTAGTCACCGTGAACCCTTTTCCCTCCTATTTCAACTTCCCATAATATTACACGTTGAGGTAGGTGATGGCTCAACATGCACAGTACATGTCCAGACCGTCTCAGTCGATGAAGGTTCACGACTTCACCAGTCGACTCGATTTGCCTGTCTTGCCTAACGTCAACATTGCTCACAAGGTGATTCCACCACATACGAATAATGCTACGAAGACACCTATGGTCGAAAAACCGTAACTGTCTTATGTCTCCTACGTTTAACGGCCATGTCTCACATCCGTACAACAGGACAGAACGGACTGTGGCGCAGTATACTCGTCTGTTGATAGATAGCTTGATATTTTGCCCATACAACAGGTGATGCAAGTTGGCCAGTGCCAAACGGGCCATCTGTATCCGATCTGATATTACATCAGCAACCAGCCAGTTCGGACTGATGCAACTCACCAAGTAAGCGAAGTGGTTGACATATCTGCTTACTTCACTCCTTATCATAGAGCGTCGTTGCACACCAGTCGTGAGGGATCACCTCACTTTTGACAGGTACGAAACGTATACGAAGCTTACTCAGGTTTCTACTCAAGGCGTTTAGAAGACCCTGTATTTTCTCAGCGTCTTCATCTGGGAGGACAATGTCGTCTTCGTATTCCAAGTCAGCTAGATAACTTACTGGGAGCAGGTCAATCCCTGTGAAGTCAGACCTATCTAAGTTTATGTTCATTCGCACGTCTGTGACGAAGTTAAAGATATCGGTACCAGTGGACATCCTCGACGGATACCACTAGTTGTTGTCAACTTACTTGACAACTCTCCATAATCCTTTACACCGCCACATAAGTTTGAGTAGAGATATTTGATAATCATTATATACTTGCTCGCTACTCGGTACTTCCATACTGCTTTGTTTACTTTGATATCAGTTTTTCCTGTCCATTTGTTCGTGAAATACTACTGTCAAATGTGCTAAATTAGACCAATGCACTTAGATGTGAGATTCTACCTTACTTCTGTCTTGTCTCATCATCATCATCATCATTATCAACATAGGACCAGGCATTACTGCGTAACGGTCCGAGTTGCCACACCTCATATCAGCATCAAGTAAAAAGGTAGTGAGGTGAAGGATGAAGATAAGTGAATGCAGTCAAAAGAAATATAAAGTACGAGAAGAAAGGAAAGAGGAGTGACAAAATAGTGAGATTCGGTATAGCGTTGTTAAGATGAGGATAATGTGTGTATACATCTGCGCCACTGACTTCGGTTCTGAGCCATATCACCTAGGGTCTCCAACCACTGGTTCCTCTTGTCCCGTGGACCCCAACCACCTAGTCTGCATCGTCCTACATGGCTTAAACCAACAGTCAGAGACTTCATACATTGGTGCCATGTTTTAGTCTGGCCACCTCGGGCCTTTTTCCAGCCTGAACCCACCTCAGCCAACATTGTGTGACGAGGCAATCGGTGACTAGGCATACGTAGTACGTGTCCCAACCATCTCAGTCGATGAAGGTTCACAACCTCGTCGACTGACTTACCTCTTCTCCCTAAAACTCTACACCTAACTTCTGCATTACTCACATGGTGACACCACGGAATACGTCCTATACTACGAAGGCAACGGTGGTCAAATACCTGTAACCTTCTCATGTCTTCCACTTTCAATGGCCATGTTTCACAGCCATACAGTAGAACAGAGCGGACTGCTGTGCAGTACACGCGACCCTTAATAGACAAACGAATATCACGGCGGCGCCATAGGTGGCGCAAATTGGCAAAAGCCAATCGAGCCTTTTGTATCCGTGCAGAAATCTCATCGGCAACTAACCCACCGGAGTTGATCCTACTTCCCAGGTAAGTGAAGTGGTCAACACACTCAACCACTTCACTCTCTATTGTTAACCGCGGTACCGCTGAAGACCAGTCCTGGAGCAAAAATTTGCATTTGGGTGGTGAAAATCGCATCCCAAACATTCTCAAATTCCCACTCAAAGTGTTCAGAAGACTCTGCATCTTGTCAGCGTCTTCACCTAACAGGACTATGTCATCTGCATATTCTAGATCTAAGGAAAATTCACCTGTGATCCGGTCAACGTCTTTGTAATTAGGTGACGAGAGGGAAACCTCCATAAGAATATCTATGATAAAATTAAATAAGAATGGGGATAGTGGGCATCCTTGACGGACACCACTTGATGAGTATAGCTCCCTGGACAACTCACCATAGGCTCTAACATGCCCACAAGTGTTCGAGTAGAGAGCTTTCAATAAGGTGATGTACTTACTAGGCACGCCTTTCAGTGACAGACACTGCCATAAGACTTCTCGATCAACGGAGTCAAATGCCGCCTTCAGGTCGAGAAATACAGCTATTGTCGGGCGTCTGTAAGCATGCCTATGTTCCAGGACCTGGCGCAGTGTGAATATTTGGTCGATACATCCACGGCCAGGTCTAAAGCCTGCCTGGTTTTCTCGGGCTTGCTGTTCCCGAGCTCCACTCAGGCGTCGGAGAATTATAGAACTTAGGATCTTAGACACTATGTTTGTCAGGCTGATTCCTCTGTGGTTATCACAAGAGGACTTCTCGCCTTTCTTGAAGACTGGGATGATGAGTGACTTAGACCAGTCGGAGGGGATCGTATTTGATTCCCATATACTGGCTAACACTTCCGTTAGCCTGACTAAGAGAACTCTACCACCATTCTTGTATACCTCAGCAGGTAGTCCGTCTGGTCCTGCTGCCCTTCCCGTTTCAGGCTACCTACCGCTTTCTCAACTTCTTCTAGTGTTGGGGGACCTGTCTCTATGTCCCATTCAGGGTCCGACTGGATAGCGGGCAGCGCAATGGTGGCTGGAGGCCAGTTAAACTGTTCCTCAAAGTGTTCTGCCCATCGTCCCAGTCGCCTTCCCTGCGAGTGAATCGCCGATCCGTCCTTCTCCGCTATAACCTCACTAACTGTTGTTGACCATTTCCCCCCAGTCTCCTTAATAAGTCTAAATAACTGTCTACTGTTACCGATCGCCGCTGCCTTTTCCATCTCTTTAGCCTTTGCTGCCCACCACTGTTCACGATCGTTGCGCAGACTTTTCGTCAGTTTATTTTTAAGTTGCGCTCGCTCTTCATTGTACTCAGAGCCTGCAGGGATGCATTCACGTGCATCCATTAGTTTGGAAGAAGCTGCTGATATCCACTGGCTCTTTTTAGCCATTATCTTGGAGTCGGCTACAGTCTCCAGTGCTGCTTTTACAGTAGACTGAAGATGGCACCAAGCTTCTTCTGGATGAGTGACAGTCTTTTGTTCCGATAACTGCCTAGCCAACTTCTCACTGAACACGGCTTTGGTGTTTTCGTTGTCCAGCAGAACTCGTAGTGGTTTTGTTGCCAAATTTTTTCTACGTCCATTGAGACGCAGGCATATACGTGCTCGGACCAACGCATGATCGCTGTCCAAACACGTACTCCAGAAGGAGCGGCAGTCTTCCACCGATCCTCTCCAGCGATGACTAATAGCAATGTGGTCTATCTGTGTCCATCGCTGAGTCGAGCTCGGTGGACGCCAGGTCAGACAGTGCCTTTCTTTATGTCTGAAATTTGTGCTGGCTAAAAATAGGCGGTTATCTGAGCATAGTTGTAATAGGCGATCACCGTTATCTGTACGTTCAGCTGGGATTCCGAAAGTGCCACCTA